GGTTCGGTATGTAAATTGAAATTGTTATTGAGTATTATTTGGCGTTAATTTATTAATTAAGAAACATTTATGCTTAATTTTAGGTTAAAGATGTCTTGTTGGAGAAATGGAAGTCGATGATTGATGCTGAGAATGAACCTTATATGACACAGTTCAAAAAGAATATACAACAATATAAAGCTTGGAGGAAAGCACGTGAAAAGAATGTAATCATTAAAATTGTAAAAATTATCCTGATAAACGATATATTAAAATACTAACATTATATTTTTAAAAAATATAGGAAGTGTCGACAAGGTGTAAAATAAAAAGAGTCAACTCCATATTTGAACACCTGAAGGAGAATAATAAAGTTAATGTGTTGTAAGAAATGGGGTTTAGAGCTTTGGTAGGAGTGAGGGATCAACCAATTCAGAGGAAATTATGTCGATCCTTGATGGAGGAATTTGATGTTCAAAAAGGTAGAGTTAAATATGGTGATTTTTCATTTCTTCTGGGGTCCCAGAAGTTGTAGTCGTATTGGGGCTAGAAAATAAAGGCAATAGTGTTGAAGATGTTGAATGATTCAACTCAGAGCATTAGAGAAGGAGCTACACTCTGCATTGAGGTAATTGCCATTATGAGTTTAGGTTGTTCTCATTAGTTGGCCTGATAGTTTAAGTATCTCAAATGCTTCTTCTTTCTCTAAAACTACAGTTGTGCATTGAAACACTCCTTCTTGTTATCTATGTGCGTGAATGTGCCTATAGATTCATACATGCGTACTTATATAAATCTATATTTGTGTGTGTTTGTGTGTGTTATGATTCTTTACAAAACCTATTTACCTTTCCAACTACGGGGTGTGATTTGGTGTCCCCCATCACCTCTAGGGACATTGTTTTTGTCCTACATCAAGTCATTAAGTTAATACAAACTGGTCATGTCTCTTTTATTTTGTTTTGGTTTTAATCCTTTCCAACTACAGGTGTGATTTGGTGTCCCCCATCACCTCTAGGGCTCCATTGTTTTTGTTTTTGTCCTAATAGTAAGATGAAAGAGGTATTTCTACATTGTGCTACTAAAGTTCCAAATCACATGTTTCATGCAATTCCTTATACTTTTTGTGGTCTATTTTTTTTCATGATTATAGACAACACACTTCAGCTTCATAATCCCCAGGATCATATGAAGAAATGCATGATGCAAGTTACTTTATTTAATTAATTGTTTATTTTCAAAAATGTACATGCAGTTTGGAAACGAATTTCTTTCTAAACTCCAGTAAAACGATTTCCTTCATCATAATGTGCAAATCAATAATGAACTTGTTGGAAAAATGAACTGATAACTATTTGGTGGTTTCCTGTGATTATTGTTCTCATAATGTGCAAATCCTTAACTACAATTAGGAGATATTAGTATCAGATTGCAGCAGATAGAGCCTAAGGTTTTCAGAGTTTGGCCTATCGCCCAGGTACATAACAAATCTAGAATTCATGAAGAGTTTATATTTAAGGGAAAAAAATTATTTCACAATAGGTAAAATATCTGCAGGCTCCTAAAGGGCTGACCAGTTTAAAATATTCAAAAAGGATATACTATATTTAAGAAATTAAGAGGCATGGACAGCACTAGTAAATTAATTCACAGACATAGGTAAATTAATTCACAATAGGAATATTCGATCAATGATATTTTAAAAAAATACAATTCTATTAATAGTTAAAAATCTCAATTAATTCAATTCAATTATCAACCGAACTAACATTTGGATATTCATATAATTGCAGTTGATTTTCTGATGTTGTAAATTTTCCATTTCTAACTGTAGAAATATAAGCCTCCAAGTCGTTAATGTTAATCACATGTTATTTGAGAATATGTTTAGTTGAAATTAGAATTTAACATGTTATTTGAGAATATGTTTAGTTGAAATTAGAAAGTAATTAGTAACGGATTTGAGAAAATGTTTAGTTGAAATTAGAAAGTAATCAGTAACGGATTAGAATTTGTTTTAAATTATTGACTTTGGTTATAAATATAAACACTAAACCATTGCACATTATCTCAACTAAAAACTAAACTTACTTTGATTATAAATATAACTCTAAACCATTGCATATTATCTCAACTAAAAACTAAAGAATGGACGCTGATGTTGTTAGATTTGGTGAGATATTAAGAGAAATATATAATATAGAATCAAGAATACGGACGTTAAGTACACATATGCGAGATTTCTTGTTATGTTATCCGTCGTATATGCGTAATTCTTCTAGCATCGACATGTGCACTCAAAAGCCACCTTATGATTATTTTCAACAGCTTTACGACAAGTACCGTGAGGTATTTGAATATATTACTTCAACGATATTATCATCTTTAAGAGAGAAGCATGATGAATAGTGGCTCCCATTGAGCATTCACTCTTGCCTTTTACCTTGTCTTTGTAGATGATGAGCTCATACAAATCCTTGCAGTACATGTGATCCTCATCATCGGTTTCAATATGAGTAGTTATTTGCTGTGAGCCTGAACATGTTTTCATCATGAGTGACGTTATCTTCCATCTTGAACTGCACGAGCTAATTATGGCTTTGTATGAACCTGGCTCTGATACCACTGTTAGAAATCACGGTCTTTCCTGCTTCTTGAAGTTAATATAGGCACTTAGAGGTTAAGGATAGTAAAGAGAGCACAAGAGTATAATTTTCAAATTTGGAGATTCTTTCACTATACAAAAGAATAGTATGTTACAAGGATTTGTTCACAAAATTTGACTCACACTTGGTGGCACACTCAAGCTTGAGGATAAAGATTTCTCAAGTTATCTCTATTCACTCTCAAAGAGGCTCTCTAACTCTCTAGTTTCTCACTCTAAGAAGTGAACTCTCTTAGTATTTTTGGATTTTTTGTATGGTTAGGAATGAAGTCTCTCACCCCTATTTATACTACTCCACTTCCACAATGAATGGTGGAGATTACTTACATCCAATGGTGGAGATTAATTATCTAGAATGCTCCACATACTCTAAGAAGCTCTACACTCTTCCACTCTCTTCCATATTCTTTCATACTCTTCCATAAGGTTCCACACATCTCCAGAATATTTCAGAGGATTCCACACTTTCCACAAGCTTCTAGAGAGTTCTACACTTCTCTAGAGTTCTCCAGAATGCTCTAGAAAATTCTACAATTCCCCAGAAAATTCTAGAATTTTCTAGAACCTCTCCAATTAAGGAGGGATCCAACAAGAATATATGTTGAAGTCTGAAGAATGCCTAAAGAAGGAAAGGGACAGAGTTTATCACTACATGCATTCAATCAGTGAGACAAAATTGTTGGAGAAAGTGCAACATGAATTGTTGGTCGTGAATCGAAATCGGCTGGTTGAAAAAGATCATTCAAGATGTAAGGCTTTGCATATAGATAACGAGGTGGAGGATCTTTTTAGAATGTATAAGCTTTATTCTAAAATTCCTAATGGCTTGGATCCTGGAATTGACTTAACAGTTACTATTCTTAATTCAGGGGTTTGGCCAATTTATAAAACATTTTATCTCAATCTCCCTGCTGAGATGGTGAAGTGTGTGCGGAAGTTTTCAAAGGATTTTATGAAACAAAAACAAAATGCAGAAAGCTTATATGGATATACTCGCTGGGTACTTGTCACATTAATAGCAAGTTTGATAAAAAAAACATTCAACTGATTGTTTCAACACATCAGGCTGCTGCCCTTCTACTCTTCAATGCTTCTGATCGTCTGAGCTGTTCAGAGATTATGGCCCAGTTGAATTTGACCTATGATGACTTGGTTAGATTGCTATATTCATTGTCATCTGCCAAGTATAAGATTTTAAGTAAAGAGCCAAACACAAAAACTATCTCTCAGAGTGACTACTTCGAGTTTAACTCCAAGTTCATTAACAATTTGAGGGGATTAAGATTTCCCTCCCTCCGGTGGATGAAAGGAAGAAAGTTGTTGAAGATGTGGATAAAGATCGTCGTTATGCCATCAAAGCTGTAATTGTGCTCATAATGAAGAGTAGAAAGGTTTTAGGCCACCAACAATTAGTGTCTGAATGTGTCGAACAGTTGAGTAGTATGTTCAAACCTGATATTAAAGCCATCAAGAGGAGGATTGAAGATCTCATCGCAAGAGATTATCTGGAGCGAGACAACGTGAATCCTAACAGGTTTAGGTATTTGGCTTAAAATTTGATTGGTGTCTTTTTTGAAAATGGAACATATGAGATTTATTTAAGATCTTATGTTGATTTTTTTTTCTTTTTAGTAAAACTATCTGCTAAAATTTTCATTATATATTTTTTCTTTCTACACTTCGGCTTCATCTCCAAGTAATTGCATAGCTGCAAGGGTTAAAAAGACTGAAATCAATTATATAAAAAAACTAATCACCGACGCCAAGGATCCATTTAAAACAAATTCCGGGGGCCAGTTTATCATTTTTTATTCTCATAAAATTTATATTTGACAGACACCTGATTCGAATGAGGCGTGACCATGTTCTGTCAAGAATAGTCAACTGAGTTTGATTCCCATAAAATTTATATTTGACGGACACCTGATTTGGGTTCTTTAAAAGATGCTGTCAGTGAGAACATTTCGAGGGATCGAGGTTTCAGGGCACTTTCCAAGGCAAGCCACTATATACTAAAGTAAAAGTGAGCTGGATGTTGCCTAAAATTGAGGGTGTAGTAGTTCGAATTATCTGACTCTAATGGACTTGGTTCTTCCTTCACTAATATTACATTTAAAAGTTCCTGGATTTCTAAATTTTAGCAGAATTGATATTATGTTTACCTTAGCATTCCCAGGAAATATTCATGTGAAATTCTGTTGAAAGGATCATTTATGATTTATCTCGCTTTACGTTGGTCGATTCATGTTGTAGGTTGTAAATATTACTTAATAATTTCCTCATTCTATTAAAGAAAAAAATTCAATGAACTAAATTAAAACCCAAGTTTTAAAGGTAACCCATGTTTGATTACAATTCACAACAATGGGTGGAAGAGTATACCCGACCTCACACACCAGCCACCAATATAGTCCGTGTTTTAGTAGGCAACGAAGTAATATCGACAGCAGAAAGGATGTAAATTTTAAGTCTTGTTCCAGCCATGCAGACCCTCCAAACATCCTTTGTTGCAGCTTCGTTGGACGGTCAAATCCGGGTCTCAACGCCTCACTCTTTAGGCATTCTCTCGAATTCAACCCCACCATCCACAGGGAAATTTAGACAAGGCTACGACACGCATGTTCTCAAGCCATTGCTTAGCTTCCGTAGGGATACCAATTCACCCTTCATGGTGAATCCCTATCCAGTTTTTTACTGCTCACCAGATACCCTTGATTACACCCTGTTCCGGCCCAATGCCGGAGTGTTCCGGCCCAATGCTCATTTAGACACGGTCTATTCGGCCATGAAACTCCTCGGTTTTGATGATCTAGACATTGTCATAGCTGAAACTGGTTGGCCATCATTGGGGGATCCAATCCAAGTTGGCGTTGATGCAGAGACTGCAGCTGAATACAATGGCAATCTTATACGACACGTTACATCCGGTGTTGGCACACCCCTTATGCCAAACCGAACTTTCGAGACCTACATAATCGCACTTTTCGATGAACATCTTAAGCCAGGACCAACTTGTGAGAGGTATTTCGGGCTCTTCCGACCAGATTTGACACCGGCTTATGATATCGGGATCCTAAGGCCAACGGTAGCTGCTGCTGCTGCAAATATTCAGCATGCTACATGTCTGTTGGTAATTACAGTCAGCCTTCTAATAATTAATAATCATGGTGAAAATTTGTTCCTTTGAATTGCTAGATTACAATGGTCTATGATAATGATTCATGAATTTTACTGATTCTTATGGTTGGCATTGGCAGGCAAGTGAGGCTAGAGATGATGCGTTCGTAACAACCACAACCCCGGTGCCTACGACCACACCGTCGTATCAGATGAGAAGGTATGATGGAAAGCAACGGCTGTGTCTTCTTGAGATGAGCGCGGATGAAAATGGTTTGCGAAGGAATATTGAGCACGAGTGCAGCTCGCTCTCACCCATCCATGAATGCAAGCTATAAGTCCAGTCGAGAAACAATTTCGATTAGGATTTCGAGCGTACCGGAGCCATCACAAACGTGCTTCCAAGTACATGAGATCAAAGTACATTTTCTTAATTCTCCCCTATGCCTCTCTGATATATAGCTAGATATCATCTTTATTTCGATCCATCTTTCGTTCTTTCCTTTGTTGCAGGACATGGAAAGTGCCATTAATACTGACTCACTTCAGTTGTAGCAACAAACAACCAGGACCTGCAACTACAAAGTAACTTAGTTTCGGTTTTGTATCGAGTCAAGTTTTGTTTTTGTACTTCCTCTGCAAACAAAGGAAGTGCAAGAATTCGGAGGGAATTTGATATGTAATATGATTTTACATTCAAAGATGTAAAAACATTTTTTCTTGCCTAATGAAATTGTTTCATGCATGAGTCTGTTTTTCAGTCGAATCATTTGTTTCTAGAATCTTTTCTCGCTTGTGCATTCTTCAACGATGCATGCGTGCATGTATTTTGGTTTATATAAAAAAATATTTAAATTAAAAATATAAAAACTTATTAAATATTTAATCGAGTAGGAGCCGAACTAGAGAATGATAACTTCATCTTCTCAAAATTTTGATCTAGTAACAATTTAAGTCAAAGTCATTGTAAGTTTAAATATTAGACAAATTAGATGTTATCTTGTGAATTTTCAAATTATATATATATATATATATATATAAATCTAGGGTAAATATAAGGTACTATTGTACAAAGACTCAACCATTTGACAACGAACACTCATGTCCTTACATACGCAATGCTCAAACTCAGTACCTCAACGATAACAATAATCCCTTAATCACTAAGATCGTTTGATTCGTGTTGAATTTTGATTATGAATATCTAATAAGTCATTTTATTTTTCTTAAATAGTCTAATATTTTGGGTTTTCGGCCCCTGACAATATTTAATCCCGACTCCGTCCCTGCCTATAGATTACTCGTAACTGCTTGAACTTAAGAATTTTAAGGAAAACAACATTTATTTTAACCATTAAAATCACTTGATGGGTTCGTAAATAGAATTTATTAACCTGTCTAATTTCAGTTTTTGCAATTTTATACGAGGACTAGTCTAGTTTTACCCATTCCCAAAACTGGAACAGAGAGTGAATGATCCTGCTCATTTAGCCACAGTCCATGGTAAAACTTGGAGTGACTGAGTAATCTGATTCCAATAGGTATGCTGCATGTATGTTTGTTTGTACTTTGAATTCCTAGAAAGTAAAAATATGAGTGCTTTATTCCTGAGTGATAGAGGTGATTAAAGTTCGACTCGATTCTAAAAAACCAACTTTTTTAATTTGATTCGAGTCATAATTGTTTTTACTCAATTTTTTTAAATAAAATTTAAGTTATAAAATAAGACTTGAATAATTTAAAACTTTTAATAATTAGTAAATTAATTTTTAAGTTTGAGTTTGAGTTTCTTAATTACTACTTATAAATATTTATAAGACTCTTGTGACCGAGCATTGCAATTCAATTAGCAAAACCACCTGCATCTCGACACGTATGGTTGAACCCGACCGAACCAACATTATGGGTTTATTGCGTGAACTACTCGGATTTGATATATAAAAAATAAAAAGTTATTAAATTTTAGGGTGAAATACGCAAATAGTCCCTCGACTAAAAGGTACTACTTTATTGAATTCCTTGACTATTAAAAGTTACAAAATATCATTCGTGTTGCTTTGTTGAGTCTCTCGACTATTAAAAGTTACAAAATAGTCAACCGACTATTCATAAGTTCCAAACTAGTCATTTTCTGTTAAAAATTGATAGTAATCTGAGTTGGACGTTAATTTGTTGACTTGATATGATAAAATCTAATCTCTGAATCTCAAATGATTATCATATCTTAGTCATCATGTTAACGTTAAGTTCAGATGATCGTTATATTTTTAACGGTGAATAATCGGGTGATCATTTTGTAACTTTTAATAGTCGAGGAACTCAACAAAGTAATGCTTTATAATCGGAGGATCATTTTGTAACTTTTAATAGTCGGAGACTCAACATAACAATACCCTATAACCAGGGGATCATTTGTGTACTTTACTATAAATTTTAATAATACAATTTATTTTTATTTCGTCGTATTAAAATTGTCTATACAACCAGTGGCGAAACTTAATGATAGAGTTTGTGGGCCAGCTTAAAATTTTAAAAAATTTAGAGGTTTAAATTAAGATTTTCAAAAAGGGTTTAGTTTATATTTTTTTCAATAAAATTAGGATCTAACAACAATTTTTGAAAATTTGAGAGACTTAATGAAATTTTTTAAAATTATGGGAGGGATTTTAATTAAAAACATTAAAAAATTGAATTGAATTTCTTAAAAAAATTGGGGGGCAAATTGAAATTTTTAAAAATTTTATGAGCCAAAATTAAAAAAATTTAAATTTTAAGGGGCCATGGCCCCTCCAGCCTAGCCTACGTTCCGCATCTGTATACAATTGTGCATACTATTTTAAAATTTGGTCTACGTATCTTAAGTATATTCTACATAGATCTTAGTTGACATTTAGTACATAAGTATATTGCTAGACTGATAAAAGATCTTAATTGAAAATAATATTAATAATTTGAGAATTAGTTTAATATGAATATAATTTAGGGAGGTAAGATGCAATTAACATTATATATATATATATATATAAGTAAAACCATGGTTATCAAAACCGGACCGGACCGGCCGATTCAATCGGTTGAACCGTGAATCGGTGGTCTATCCAGTCCGGTTATCTCACAAAACCGGTCTGGTAATGAACGGTAGAACCGGGTTAAACCGGTTGAAAACCGGTAAAACCGGTTTGAACCACCGGTTCACTTTTTTTTCTTTAAAAAAAATTAAACCAAACGACATCGTTTGTTCAACGAGCCAAGTCAAATTCAAGTATTACTGAACTCGAACTCGAAAACTTTAAAAGTAAGCTCAACTCGACTCAAAAACTAACGAGCTAAAAATTATCAAGTTCAACTCGAACTCAAAATATAATATTAAAACTTGAACTCGAAAAGGCTTGAACTCAAAAGCTCAATTGAAGCAAAAGAATAATTCGCTCTGTGCTCATCAAAAGGCTTCATGATTTTGAATGTCAAATTACCTCTATTATTTATAGAAGTAAGTTGGGATTCTTCTATGTTTCTTAGCCATGTGGGATTGTTTTGTTCTCATATTTTTACTCTTTAAACTTTTGGGATGCTCTTCTATATTTATTAGCCATGTGATTGTTCTTTTTTAAAAAAAATTAAACCAAATGACATCATTTGTTATGATTTTTTAAGCCCCAATTTTATTTTTTTTAATTATAGTTATATAATTATATTTATTATTTAATATGTTTTACCTTAAATATTATGTTGTAGTTGATTTGAATCATTTTGTTTCACTTGATTTTATGGTTTTTAATTTATATATGTTATGACTTGTGATATTTTTATACCTTTTAATATTGTAAACTTATAAAAATATTACATTTATATTAATATTGCTTTAAATATTATGTAAAATAAAAATATATTATTTTATATAAAATCCGTTCAACCGCGAGAATACCTAAAGAGTGAGGCGTTGAGACCTTCTTGGTGTACATGATTTATATTTCTACTACACCATGAGGAAATATATTATCAATAACAAAAATTGCTATCTATCTATAAAAAATTTTGGGATATAGTCTCAATCGCAAATTGTAAAGTAAGACTTTTTGACCAATTGTGAACTTGTTCCTGAAAATCATCCAGTCATGGATTCTCCTTGTAGATTGTTGCGTTCGTGTATGAATCATTGTGATTTTCTTTCAATTTTTGCATTGCAACTTCTTATGTTCTCCCGCTTCATCAATCTTCATGTTAAAAAAGTTTGATGGCCCAATAGGCCCAGTGCTCTAGTTTAACTAGAAGATGACATAGTTTGTCGTAAACCAATTTGTAAGGAGGCATACCTATGAGTGTTTTATATGATGTCTGGTAAGCCCATAAAACAATTTTTAGGCGTAAACTCCAATCTCGACGTGCAAGGTTAACGGTCTTCTAGAAGATGGACTTGATTTCTCAATTATAGATTATGATAAGTATTTGGATGGCTACAAGACGGTTAATGTATAAAAGAAAAAAATTTAATCCAATTTGGATACTATGGAGTTTGAAAACCTTAACAATAATTCAAGAAATAAAAATCCTACCCAAACTATATATTTATTAGTATTAGACATTGAGTTGTATTTTAATGTAAACTCATTTTCATATAAATAACGTCATTGTAAATAGAGTCATGAAGGAAAGGATTTATTAATTCATATACACACATTTTTTGTGATAAAACTTTCAGATTATTTGTGATTGTATTTAAGATATTTTTTTAGTAAGCTTGAGATATGAACGATCCACCTTGCAAGTATTTTTTTTCTTGGGAAAAATTCTCAAAGATAAAGAGTTTCATTATAAATTTACAATAATTTGAACACATTGATCTTGTAAAAAGTTATATTCAGTCTTTTAGTTGTTGCCTTGCTGCAATTGTTGGTAATGCTCAATCCCACATAGTATTGGAAATACTACTGGGAGTGGTATTTAAGGCTTGGATTTCCCACTTCCTTGTTGAGTGATAGAGAACAAGGGGGACTCTCGCGCACCGCCGCCGCCGCCGTCCGTCTCGGCTCGGCTCGGCTCGGCTCGGGTCGTCGTCGTCGTCGTGGTCGTGGTCGTGGTCGTGGAGAACAGTTCAGAATGGGTAGTTGACACTGGCGCTTCGAAGCATTTCTGGGCAAGGAAGGAGTTTTTCACCGAGTTTGAGGATGGAACACTGGTGAACGTGTGTACATGGGGAACTCTAGCAGTTCTAAAGTGCTAAGCAAAGGCAAGGTTTTACTCAATCTGACTTATGGTAAAACTCTGGCTTTAAATAATGTTCTGTATGTACCTGCCTTGCGTAAAAATTTGATAAGTGGTGGGCTTCTGAATAATGCAG